ATATATAATGTCTTTATTGATTTGAGAGAGAGAGGGAGAGAGAGAGAGAAAGGGAGAGGGAGAGAGAGACGAAACCTGGGCATATCCCTGACCAGAATAGAGCCAGCGACCTCTCAATGCTCCACACTGGCCAGGGTGAACCATTTCTATTGATTTAGAAGTAAGAAATAAAGCTACTAGATGTCCACAAGGAAAAAATATGTACCTTTGGTCAGATTATCTAATGAGTAAATGTTGATAAGAAAAAAAAATCTCAATTGATTTTACATTGTCAGACTGTTAAAGAAGTAGAATTATTTGATCTAAAGTTGCCAATCACATTTCACGCTTGCTACATTGCAGTTTTATTAACCTCGGGCTAAACAGATTTTTACATTTTCTTTTTATTAATCATTTATACATGAGTTGTCCATTTAAAGGCTAAGTTTTCCTCAACAAATGAATATAAGCATAAATATTTACAGAAAATAACTAGAATTGAAATGAAAAAGGCATGCCAACCTAATAGAGAATGAGATGTCATCATAAATGAGAAATGTATGAGAGTAGCCTAACTTTTTCCCAGTTTGTTTATCAATTAAATGAACTGTAATCTCATGATCGTTTAACTTATAATTACGGGCCACAATAAATTAACCACTGCTCATGTTTCCAGGTGCAAAGTGACACTGCATACAACAAATCGACAGTGTATACAACATTGTTATATACCACTGTTCTGTTCAGTGATCAAGGCAGATTTGTTTTTCTTTTTCTTTTTTCTTAAAATGAGCAATAGGAAATTAGGACAAATTATTCTGGATTCTTTATCTGGTTTCCAAAATACATTTTTTTCCCTATCTCCCAAAGTGCGAGTTATTCTTAGAACTGAAAGTGGAACATGGAATTTAAATGGTCAGTGGTGTGACTAAGTGTGTCACATCTTGTATCCCATGGGCCCCCATGGTAACTGTACAACTGAACAGTAAGTCCCAGGTTGTTGGGTTTGGGGTTGTGTTTTTTTTAATATATCTTCAGCTATGACTAATACATACTTTTAATTTGGACAGTGCTACAACAAAAACCCATTGGGCTTTCTCTGAACATTTAGGGTCAGCTATTTTACCCCAGTCTTATGATTCTACTGTTACAGAAAACCGGAGAAGAACCAAGCAACACTTAGATGGAGTTACATTTATTATTATTATTATTACACGCGGGCCTAGAGAAAAATGTCTCTAGAATTCTAGGCAAAGTCACACAGGAAGTTTCCTGTATTTATACCATTTTACCCTCTTTGTCTCCCAAATATGGGGTTTTCCAATCCCCTTTGCAAGTTCTTAAAGAGCCCCTATGTGCTGAGGCTCTGAGACCTCAACCAAAGGCTTGGCCTGGTGCCAGCACTGATAACTTCGTCTGGGGAAGGTTTAATGGCCTCTCTGAAATGGGAGTAGTCTTATTTTCCTTATTATTTAAGCAAGCATTTACAGAAGCCAAAATGCAGGGTGAAAATTTGAAACAGCAGTTTTTATATAAGATGGATGCTTCGCTACATCCTTGGAGAAATACTAAGATGGCAGTAATTTTAGGGCATAACTAATTATTGTTATTTAATAATGACTCCTTCATTCAGGAATCACTTACGGACTACTTTCTACATGTATGAACCTAGTGATAGTTATCGGGGTATTAAACATTTGAAGATGGTTGCCAAGATTGTTTTCTGGTCAGACATGATCATTGAAAAGTAAAAAGAATAATAATAAACACAACAATAGTTTTGAGAGCCTAATATGCACCTGTGCTTTACACGCATTACCTTATTCATCTTCCTAACATTTTTCTTTTTTAAAAAATGTTTCTGTTGATTTGAGAGAGAGAAAAAACCATCTATGTGAGAGAGAAACATCTATCCGTTGCCTCCCACAAGTACCTGCCCCAGGATCGAACCTGCAACCTGGGTATGTGCCCTGACTGGGAATCAAACAGGCAAACTTTTGGTGCACAGGATGATGCTCAACCAACTGAGCCACATTGGCTAGGGCTCTAACATTTTTCTTAAGATATAAGTATTGTCCCCATTTTCTAGATCTAACAGTGCCTGGAGTTACATAGATAGGGAAATTGAATACAAATCTATGAAAGTCTAAAACCCATAATGTTCTTGTCATTAGTATTCTGATGAGGTGGGAACCCACAATCTTTTGGAGAAGATGACCATATTTTGTTCCTCAAGAAACATGGTGTTTATTTAGTAGAGAGATGAGGAGAAAGAAGATAAAATTTGGGTGAAGTTCTCCCTAGTAAAGCTATAGGAATTCCTGAAAATTAATAAGGTCTTACTTGGCAGCACCAATTTTTTGGTTAGATTAAAGAGGTAAAAATAAATTAAAGTCAATTCTATTTAAGCTAGTTATGGGGAGTGCATGCATGTGACAGTTGCCTTACGACTTTGAATATTTAAATGTTAGCTGCTCCTCAGAGCCACATATATTTTCCATATACCATTACCTTCCTTTCCCCCCTCCACTACACCAGTTTCTTTAAATGACCTAGTTTGTATTATTTTAGGTCAGTGCTGCCATGCCTCTGCCAGTAGTTGAGTTTAAGTTGATTTTGAGGCAGGTAAAATGTAGCACATCTATTCATGATTTGCCTATAAAACAGTTTGTTTAAACATTTTATGGGTGAGTTAGACCACTTTTGTCCACCAGGGTGCATATAACTTGTATACTAGTACATGCATGGTGATAACACAATCCACAGTTAACTAAAGTTCTTGTTTCTTAAATTGCCTTTGTTTAATGGCATAGAAACACAAGTCCTGTATAGAGATCGTGTCTTTTTTATTCACTACTGTACTTGGGCACATTATGAAAATTTAATGATGAATGAATGAATATTTTGACAAAAAATACACCTTCAAAATTCATTCCCTTGGATTTACGCTGCAAAACTTAGCTCCATAATAAAATTAACTTCTAATGTCTGCCTTCTTTCATTTGACATTTAAAATAAAGTATGGACATATATAGATAGAAACATAGAATAGACTTATTCTGTTCTCTTTCCTCCAGCTTACTTTGTACCTTTCAGGCAGAATCCTGATATCTATAAATATCCTCTTCCCTATTTAGCAAACCCTGGTAATCCTGTGATCCCCTGTCCTCAGTAGTTGGGTTAATATGATGCTGTATTGTATTTGCATTTGTCTCGCCTAGACCATGCTTGAAATGCCATTTATTATTTTGCTGGAAGAAAATATTAGCTGAACTTTCCATTTCTCTGTAATTTCACTTAAAGGTGAAACATGTAAAGCCATTGTTTCCTGCTGAGGAAAATTGCCCATTAGAAATGTAGATGCCTTGTTTTTTATACCATTAGGTTAATAAAGTTTAGCTATAGTTAGAATGCTTTCTTTTTCACCTGTGCTTTGCTTCTTTTAAGATGAATAGAAATTATATTTTTCTTTTAATCAATTTCAAATAGAATGAGTGCATAAAAAATCTCAGCCTGCAGAATGCAGTATTTTTATTTACTCATTTTTCAAAAGAGACACGCGAGGAAACACCTAAAACATTCATTTTGAACCTTTAAAATATTTTATAGAAAACGGACCTTCTTTCATGATTTCTACACTAGTAGATAATACGCGAGAAGAACTTTACCTGTACTGTTGTTTAATGTTCTAATGGGATAAATTCCAGTTGTTTTATAATTTTATTGGAAAGGTAATGAGGACATCTAACCAGGAACTCAAGAGTAGTAAAATGTGTTTCCCCTGTTCTTAGCTTTTTTATACCACCAGTCCCCTGAGGATCTCAGAATTCTAATTTTAACTGTTCTGAAAGAGGGTATTATAAATGAGTGATTGCAATGTGGCTAACAGAAGCCAGGGAGAATTCTCATAAATATAATTTCAAAAAGGAATGGTGTCAAAGTATTCAAGGCCAGAAGAGATGAAAACTAAAGAAGTGTCTTGCCTATCTTTTGTTTGTTAGTTTCAAATCTATTCAGCCTCTCTTTCCCAGATCTTTTGGTATAGAATTTGTCTTTCTGTCTTTAACCAAACCTTCCATTTTACTGCTGGAAAAATTTGAGGCATAGAGATGGTCCTTAGCAAGTCTGCAAATACAGTACTAGAGGTAGTAAACAAATAGTCTCTCAAGAGAAAGGAATTCTTAATAATTATGCATATTTGCATTTCATTGTCCAAAGACTCAGTTGTTGAGAATTATTTCACAGAATTATTATTTGATCTTAGTGAACAGACTGGTTTGAATAATTGCCTGGTGCAATGCAGATAAAAAATATAACCATTTTATATAATTCTAAGATTGAGTTTGAAGGGATTTCTGCTTGAGCTGGGAGATTAGATTAAATGCCCTTTAAAATCTGGTATTCTTTGATTCTTGTTGTAACCATGCCTTATTGGAACAAGATTGTCATCTGCAGGACAAAGCAAGTAACTATCTTACAAGATTTTTCTTATGTTCTTGGATAAAAAGCAACATGATTTACTTCCACCCATAAAAATCCTATCTATCTATATAAAACCCTAAAATGCAAATCGACCAAATGGCAGAACGACGACCAAATGGTGGAACGATCGGTCACTATGATGCACACTGACCACCAGGGGGTAGATGCTCAATGTAGGAGCTGCCCCCAGCCTGCAGGGCGGTGGGGGGAAGGGGGCGGTGAGTAAGTGGCGCCAGGCCAAGATGGGTGCAAGCGGGGGCCCTGATCACCCTGCCAGTTGCCCCACAGATAGACCTGATCGCAGGCCAGGCCTAGGGGCCCTACCCGTGCATGAATTTCGTGCACCGGGCCTCTAGTATAATAAAAGCATAATATGCAAATCGACCGAACAGCAGAATGACCGGTTGTTATGATGTGCACTGACCACCAGGGGGCAGATGCTGAACGCAGGAGCTGCCCCCTGGTGGTCAGTGCGCTCTCACAGTGGGAGCGCTGCTCAGCCAGAAGCTGGGCTCACGGATGGTGAGCGCAGCGGTAGTGACGGGAACCTCTCCCACCTCTGCTGCAGGCAGGCAGTAAGGAGCGAGGGGTCCTGGACTGCAAGAGAGATGTCTGACTGCCAGTTTAGGCCCGATCCCCAGAGGGTTATTCAAGGGTTTACTCTCAATTTTGCGTAAATTGAAAAGTGTAAGCCAGCAGGTGGACATCCCCCGAGGGGTCCTGGACTTCAAGAGGGCGTGGGCTGGTCTGAGGGACCCCCCTCTCTCAGTGCACGAATCTTGTGCACTGGGCCTCTAGTCAATAATAATAAAACAAGAAACAGAAATATTAGGTTACTAGTCAAAAATATCATGGTTAAATTTTTTTTTTTTTATGAATGACTTTAAAATTTCCTTACTTCCCTGTTATATCAAACTAGAGGCCCAGTGCATGAAATTTGTGCACTGGTAGGGTCCCTAGCAGCTGCTGGCTGCCTGCCGGGTACTCCCTCCATTTCCCCAGTCGGCCCTGCCCCCTAGTTGAACTCCCAGACAACTCCTGGTCGAGAGGACAATTTGCATACTATGCTTTTATTATATAGGTGGATTCTTCATCTGAGCCCTGGCTGGTGTGGCTCAGTTGATTGAGTATTGTCCCTTGCACTGAGAAGTCGCTGGTTCAATTCCTGGTCAGGGCACATGCCCAGGAGGCAGCCGATCCATGTTTCTCTCTCTCTTTTTAATTCTTCATCTGAAAAAACAGATAATCCACACTGTGCACCTGTCCTGTAAGGGTCTTATGAAAGGTAGATGATGATAAGTTATCTTGAATGATGAATTTTTTTTCTTCAAATTTTATTTATTGATTTTTTTTTAGAGAGAGATTCTTGTATGTGCCCTGACCAAATTGTTGTTCTACTGATATATGCATTGATTCTTGTATATGCCCTGACCGGGATTGAACCCACAACCTTGACATATCAGGACAATGCTCTAACCATCTGACTACTGGGCCAGAGCTAAATGATGAAGTCTTAAACGTGAACTGAAAGTCTTAAACAGAGAGCCCAAATACAATTTTATATAACTTTTTTGTATTTCTTTGTATAGCACCTTTAACTTACATTAACTTGGGTGTATAATTCTGTTTACTTAAACAACTATTATCTAGTATCTATCTAGTAAGTGCCAGGCATGTGGGAAACAGAAACTATAGTCCTTACCCGCGAGAAACTTCACTCTACTAAAGGAGAAATACAAAAGTCAGTTACCTATAGTCTGATATGCTGAGTGCTATCCTCTAAATTTATATAAAGGGCTTTAGGAGATTTGGGATGACTACTAAGCTGGATTAATAGAAGGAGCAGGAATAAGCCATGCTATTTATTAAGTTGTTGAATTTACTAACCGACTTCTGCCAAAACTTAGAAGGGGAAAGCAAATGAAACAAATGTCATCAAAGTGGGAAAGAATAATAATTAAGCTCTCCACAACCAAGAACTTTTTTCAAGGAGAAGGTACTCTGATGTTCAATAATATCAGAGTTAGTGCCCCAAAAGTAATCTTTTTTATGGTTGTTCAAGGGCTTACTCTCAATTTTGCGTAAATTGAAAAGTGCACCAGACCAGGAGGTGAGACTCCTTCTCCTGGGTTTGGATAATGCTGGCAAGACTACCCTTCTGAAGCAGCTTGCATCTGAGGACATCAGCCACATCACACCTACACAGGTGAGCACTGCGTTGGCCCCAGATATTTGTGGGACACACGGAGGATGATAATATGATAATAGCAGTATGAAAGACAAAATGGGAAATATCGTTTTGTCCATTTCTAAGTTTTGTTACTGAGAGAAGTATATACTGTATAAAATAATCTTAAGGTTTCAAAAATATATCGAGACTCCATTCATATGAGATACTTAGTCAAATACATAGAGACAGAAAGTAGAATAATGGTTACCAGAGGCTGGAAAGAGAGGAAGAAATTGGGAATTATTGTTTAATGGGCACAGAGAGTCAGTGTTGCAAGATGAAGAAAGTTCTGTGGACAGATGGTGGTGATGGTCGCACAACAATGCAAATGTACTTAATGCCATTCAACTGTACACTTAAAAATGTAATGGTACATTTTCTTTTATGTATATTTTATAATCTATAATAATAAAAGCGCAATATGCTAATTAGACCGGACATTCTTCCAGACGTCCCTCTGGACAAAGCCAGGGCTGCGAGGGAAGCCCAGGTCCTGAGTGCCTGCTGGCGGCCAGAGGGAAGTCCGGGTCCGGGTATCAGAGAGAAGCCAGTGCCGGCAGCCGGGGGAAGGAAGGCCACTCTTGCACGAATTTCGTGCATCAGGCCTCTAGCTTGTAAATAAATAATATAAATATATATGTATACATATGTCAGGACACAATCAAGTCCCTCAGATCTAAGTGATTCCTTTAAAAAATAGCTTTATCTTCTCTGATTATGAAATTAATTCATATAGAAAATATAGAGAAAGTATAAAGAAGAGAGTACTGTGTGAAAACCCACTGTTAATATTTTAGTGTGTATTTTTCAGACTTAATGAACACAAATATATATTAATTTTTTTAAATTACCTATATTTTTAATCCAGTCTCATCGACCCGCCTCTTTCCTAAGGCTTAGCAAGTAAAGCACAAAGGATAAGACAGTGGTGGTGCTCACTGTATGGCAGTTGAAAAACAAGTCCTGGTTGGAAGAACTCCAGTTCGCGTCTTTAGACCTCCTTTCCTGTTGGAAATTCCGAGAAAGCTCGACCTTTGGCCAAGCCTTTGGGTTTCCTAACTAGGAACAGCCCTATTAGTCTCAGCCACTTTAAAGTGCTTGAGCATTAACATTCAGCAAAACCGGGTTGATTTAGCATTTTCTGTCGCCATACTATATACTAAGAGCTTGGTGTCAGGTTTGAATAGCTGTGCTGGTGTGTGTATTTCACAGCCTAAGAATATTACTGATTCAAAACACTTTGCAGGAAAGTCATTTCAACTCTTACCAAATGAGCAATTTTACAGCTTCTGACAAATTTAACGTGTAGTCGAAGAAGGAGCATATTACAGTAGTATAGCCTAGAAAGGCTGAAAACATTAGTTGTATGAGGATTTCAGCCAGAAAAAGAAGTGCTAGATTTTGGGGTGTTTTGGGGAGGGGGAGGCTTGTTTGATTTGTGATAGGCTGTATTTCTCAAGAACATGCTGCGACCATGGAAATGAACTCAAAGTATGGACCCAAAGTTCCAATTCTAACTTTCAGGCTTTGTTTGATGTGTTGTAGATGACTCTTATTCTACAGGGTAGGGCAAAAGTAGGTTTACAGTTGTTTGTATGGAAAATAATACAATAATTAATAAATAACACAAGAATAAACTCTATTTCGTGTACTAATAACTATAAACCTACTTTTGCCACATCATGTATTATGTCGTTTTCATATTCTTTAAAAACAAACTTTTATTGTATTTTTGTTTTTATATTTAAAAAAGCAATAGATAGTCATTATAGTAAATTTAGAAAGTATACATAAGTAAAATTGAGAAACTAAAAATCACCTATAATGTCCATTCATACATAACCACTGTTAACACTTAGTGATATATGCATTCAGTTTTTTTCTATGTATATATATATGATGGGTATATTTAAAATAAATAAAAAAGGCTTACAGAGAATAGGCTGTTTTGTATCATCTTTTTCACTCAATACTGTATGTAACATCTTTCTGTGTTGTTATAAATATGAATATAATATACATCTCATTATTTCCTTAGAATAATTTCTTAGTAGATTTATTAGGTCTGATGACAATAGAATTTTAAGACAGTTGATACATATGGTTGAATTCCAGGATTTACTCTTATTTATTTCCTGCTTCATTTTAGAAGGATTTTATGTTACTGCATTTGACATGTAATATTGTAGTTATGTATACAATTTCTAAGCTCACAAAAGTGGTTTTGTCAATGAGTCAGAATGAAGCAGCCTTTTACAATAATCTTAAGTCACATCCCTTTAGAGTTCTTAAACTTCATATTTATTCAGTCATTGGCATTTTAGAGGAGCTGCAATCAGCATCATCCCCAGTTATTCTCTAGTGATGATTTATCCTCAGGAGAAATTGGGCAGCAGTGTTCCTGTACCATTGCACTGTGCCTGTCTTTCTGGGCTAGGCAGTAGTGTTGGTAAGCTGCCAGATGAGGCAAATGTTTATGGAGGCATCCCCAGATGCGCTTAACTCCAGTTATTCTGGATGAAATGTCATTTCTGGGGTAGCACACTGTTGATTAGATTTTTCAGAGCCTGATTTCACTAAATCATTTTTGCAAGAAGATATTTTTTTTATTCTTGCTCATGAAATGCCTTCTCTCCAAACCCCAAAGTTCTTGTTAATTTGTTTCTCTGCACACTACCTCCCAGCTCACAATTCTGCCTGCCTCTGATTTGCTCACCTTCCCCAAAGTTGTACCTTGAGTACCTGTCCTGAAAATGAATGCTCTCTTTTCAGGTTCATTAGAGATACCTAATAAAGAACAGTTTCAAATACCTGCTTGCTTGTTTGTTTTCATCACTACTAAAATTGAGGGCTCTACTTAGTTTAAACATGCTGTTCCAGCAGGCCCTACCTTTCTCATAATCCAGTTATTAACCAGCCTCCCCCATAGTTTCTGAGTTCAGCTCCTTCCTTTTCCTGAGTAATCTATATGAGAAAATTTCTTTCATTTTGAACTACTCCTGAAGAATGCAATCTTCCAGATTTTAGCTTTTGTCTTTTTAAATGTAGCATTTGTTCTGTTCTGTTGAGTTGTCAGATTCAGCTTCAGGGGGTTTTTGTTAGTTAAAAGTGATGTCCTGTTAAATGTTACCATCCTGAGGACTCCTCAGGGGTGTGGCCTGTGTTATCAGAGCTACTGTCATACCAAGTTCTCCTCAGTGGTTGTGTGTGTGTACTCATGATAGGAAGCACATATGTTAGCCATGACATTCATAACACTGACTCCACAACCTGAATGAAGTAAGCATGTATACATACATTTCTCCGTTCCCTACCGTAGCAAACTGTTTTCAGTATTATCAATGTCACCTCTGGCAGAGTACCTCAGAATTAGGAAATAACATAGCTGTCCAATGTAACTTTGTCAGAATTATGATCTCAAAGCTTAAAAAAAACTTGTGTTTACCTTTCTTTGTTGCAGGGTTTTAACATCAAAAGTGTACAATCACAAGGTTTTAAACTGAATGTGTGGGACATTGGTGGACAAAGGAAAATCAGGCCATACTGGAGGAATTACTTTGAAAACACTGATATTCTTGTAAGTACTCTTTCTGATGTGTTAATTCATAGGAACATTAACTCTATAAGGTTCTGTCTTGCCAATAATTCCATTGCCATAACATTAATCACTCAATTTAGGGCTAGCAGAAGGCTCCACACTGTAAGAGAGAAACATCTTTGTATAACTTGTATAAGATGTTTTGCTGTCGCTCAGTAACAATGTTATACCCACACCCACCTTGGCAAATAAAGTGTTTATTTATTACCATAGTGATTCGAACAGCAGTAGGGAAGTCAGAAGATTGTGCCGCTAACTCTATCATCCAAGGATATCAACAAATCAAGTGTGTCCCAAACTGAGCAATCAAGATAGTGAGAGTCCTGGAAACAATGATGTGTAAGGAATGGTTGAAAGACCTGACAATGTCCTTCCTGGAAAAGAAAACACTTGGAACTGTCTTCAATTACTTTAAAAACTATCTTAAATCAAACATTAGCCTCATTGTGAATATTTCTAAAGGACCAGACAAGGAGCAGTTTGGCGAGTATGAGATGGTAGAGTTTAACTCAGAATAAGGAAGACGTTTCCTATAGTTGTAACTGCCCAGAATTAAAGAAGCTGCCTCAGCATTGGGAATTCCCTGGCTCAGGTGCCTTTGTTCAGGCAGAGGCTGGGATGTTAGTTCCCAGCTCTCTGTCACATTCTCTAGGACTACTGTGTGTCTCCTGGATTAAGGTACTTGGAGAGAAATGCTCAAGTCAGAGCAGTTCATAAGGACATGAATGACTCTAAGGTTCCGTACGGAGGTCTCAGAAACTTTCCAGCCCTCAGGTCAGGGAATTTTAAATCATAAGCTCTAACACTTTGAGAGTCGACTGCAAGGTAGTGATAATCTGACTCTGGATCCCACACTTCCCATTTGCTTAGAGTGCCTGGGAAGTATAGAACTAGCCAGCAAAATCAGCTTGCAGCAACCCTGCAGTTGCTTTCACCAGCTACATTACATTGCCAGCACCAGACACTATTTTGGATTCAGTGTCAACATTCCATTATTTTCCAGTGCCATTTGGGATTAAACAACTTTTGGGGAGCAGGTGGGTCCCCAGGGTTAAATTCTAAGGCCTGGTGACTCTTAGTTCTGTCTGATAGTTTTGTAGCAGCTTGCCGTAGCAGTGGTTGATGGATTATATTTGTATTTAATAGTTTTCCATTGTTGGTTAAAAAGACCTATTACACTAGACTCCACAACAGTATTGAGGCTTGACACATTTAGTTGCCTGGTTAACACTTTTCAATTATCTCTAGAGTGCCATAATAAATTTTTGCTTTAGAGTGGGTGTCGACAAACTGATCCAGTCTGCCTCCTGCTATACTATAGCCTATGAGCTAAGAATAGTTTTTATACAGTATTTTTAAATGGTTGAAAATTTTTCAAAAGAAGAATAAGATTTCCTCACATGAAAACGAAGTGAAATTCCAATTTCCGTGTCCAGAAAGTTCTGTTGTGACACAGCCACGTCCACTTGTTTGCATACAGGGTGGGCAAAAGTAGGTTTATAATTGTGAATATGCGAAACACAGTTTATTCCTTTATTATTATTTACTAATTATTGTATTTATTTGATTACAACTGTAAACCTACGTTTGCACACCCTATATTTTCTATGATAGCTTTCACACTATAACAGCAAAATCCAATAGTTGTGAAAAAGATTGTGTGGGCCACAAAACCGAAATTATTTACTACCTGACCCCTTACAGAAAAAGATTTCTTTAGATCATTAAGTGGTTCTCTAGGGGTTTGAAAGGGTCAGGGCAACTCCTAAAAGTGCCAAAGATATTCTCAGGGAAGATGACACTGAGAACATTTTACTTCAGCTTTATTAATTGTGGGGAAGTGACTAGTCAATAAAACCTAAAGTATGATAGGAAGGAGGGAGAGGCTGTCTTCCATTTCTTTTAGGCCAGGAAATAGCAGCCGTTTGATAGATAAAAATACATCTTTTTTTTTTCAAGGTGTGTTCATATTATTACTAAACTCTATTTACTCATTGTTAACAGTTTTGTGTTTAAATGCAGCATAATTTAAATAAAGCAACTGTGTCATCATTTCCATAACCAATGTGTAGGACTTAAGTGAGATCTCAAACAACTGTCTCATGTATTATTTCCGTAATGCCACTCACCCCCGAGTCACCTGGGTATCGATACTGCTGCAGCACACATAATTGAAAACCACAAGTTACCCAGAAACCTTATTTGTTGTTTTCAACCTCCTTTTAGACTTTTGCTCAAGCCGTCAATAAAAAGCCACACATTTTAGTATCATCTCTTCTTGGCTCCCTACCCCTCTAGTGGAGAAATACTTGGGAGCAATAAAATGACCAAAAGGTGGCAGCAGGACCAGAAGCAAAAGGAGAAACAAAGAACCCTCCATTCACATGCTGGATAGTCAGTCTGGATAGTCCAGAGTAGGCTGTACTTCCATCAGAAAAACAAACAAAAACCTCTTTCGTCTTCCTTCCACAACCAAATAGTCATTTCAAAGCAGTTGCCAAGGAAGATGTGAATTGGCTTTGCTTAAAGCATCATTCTGAGTGCTGTGCATAACTATATTTTAGAATAGATTTATGAAACTTGATTTTTGAGGTTCCATAATGTTTTAAGGTCAGAAGCATTATAAATGTTTTAACTTTATCTGATACTTTCTGAGTATTTTGATTATTAATTAATTTTTGGATTAAAAATTTTTACAACTAGATTAACAAATATATATATATATTTAAGGCAAGAGGCTCTCCTTACCTTTATCTCTATTGACCAGAAGAAAATAGATACTGGGCAGCACTGGGGTGACAAGCAACCAAGAGAAGCATATACCACTGCAGAAAAACAAATTGATGTATTACTAAATTAGTTGTTTTAGAGACTTCTTCCTGGAATTATTGTGTAGTAGTTGTCAAATTTTATAAAAATTATGCTAAATGATAAGGAGAATTAGGCTAAATGTATAGTTTAGGAAAACCCTCCTTTAATTATACTGAATCTTTTAATGGAGGCAATAAATAGCAAGTAATTTGGCAAGTAATTATAAGTAAAAGTTAAAACTTTCTTCTCATTGATCTTCAGCCTCTGGATTCTCTGGTATCAATCTCTTGTCATTAAAACTCTTTCCATTCCTTATCCTCTCCCGACTATTTTTCATAATAACAAACATCAATTTCCTAACTTTATATTTGTGTTTTCAGCTTTGTCTCAGCCTCCTCTTTTCTTCCCTTGTTACTCACGCCTTTGCTCCCAGGCCCATTTTTTCTTACTTTGAAATTCCTTTCTTGCCCAGTGGCCTGCACACAGCCTTCAGAAAGCCCTCTAAGTCCAAAACACCCTCCCCGTGATCACTTGACCCTCTCCCCTCCCTCACATCTTGAACTATTGCCTGAGTGAAGATAATCTTAATCCACTGTTGACTCCCAAATAATTCTTATTAGGTCTTTTATATTGAGGTTCGCCCTCCCACTACATTCCTTCGTTCTATATGTACATTTACACGACATCTGCTACCTTAAAAATGAGAGCCTCACTGGTGGAAAACAGTATGGAACTTTGGGTGTTTGTGGTGTGCAGAGCCCATTAATGCATGTATTCACACTGAGTCAAGAGTAATATTAACTACAACAACAATAATAAGGCTGAAAAGAAAATACTGAGACAACATCCTTCCTCCTTTTATGATTCCCCTGAAAGAAACACAGGTGGAAACACAGGGTATTCTTCAGAGGAAAGCCCAAAGCCATTCTCAATGTTCCTGGTATATTTAGCATTAGTGATTCTAAATGAGAGTGCATTAAACTTATGGAATTTTAATTTTTTTCTTTCAAAAGAGAGCAAATTTTCAAGTAGCACAAAATTTAACCTACATACAGAAATGCCTACGTATATTGTAGTATATTAGTTTATGTAATTTAAGGCATGTAAAGGTGAGAGTTGTTTTGTGTTGTTGTTTCTAAATGAATACAGCAGGCCCTCAAATAAGGTCATTTTGTTCAACATTGTTTCATTATAACATGGATGAGAAGCTGTAGGAACTTAACTCTTGTTTATGTCAATTAGCCTGTGGTAAAGTTGTTTTCATTATATGTAGTTTTGCTTAAAGTTGCAAAACCTATTGATGACATTGAGGATTTACTGTATGCTCTTTTAAAAGTCTGTTTTCATTGTACCATTAGTTTAATAACAGTTCTAAATTCTTTAAAAGAAGTTAGAAAATCTGATAATTTTTAAGATTAGCAACTGGGAAAACATTTAATATACCATTTAATTGTTTTAAAGGACTATAAAATTATATCTAATTTTATTTTTAAACTTTCATATGAAGAAGAATTAAGAGAACATTCATACGAAATTAAAATAACATATTTGGGTTCTGTAACTATAGGCAATTTTCTTTTTTGGTCTTCCCTTATTTTCTTTATTGTTATAGGGTGTTATTTATGCAATAAATAAAATTCAGTGATGGGAGAGAAAGCTTGAGATTTTTAATTTATGGTGAATCTCAAGACTTCTCTTACTCTGGAAAAGGCTATGCCCTTGCTATTTGCTTATAGCCTCCTAGCAGCCTTGGAGGTTATAAGCAAGGTAGGAATGGGATGGAGATCACTGGGTTTCCTGCTTCAGTACATGAAGTCAGCATATAGTTAACACTGCAAATGATACTTTCAGCGTGATGATGTTCAGAGACTAGGATTTGTAGATGTCTCAAAACATCATCCCTCCCAGACAACTTGAGATGCAGTGTTAGCAGAGTGCTTAAGGTATGCTTGAGTTTGAATCCCAATTTTGTCAAGCACTTGATGTAACTTGAGCAAGTTACTTAACTTCTTTGGGATTATGTTTATCTATCTAATAAAAGCCTAAGCGACTGTTATGGCGGAACAACCAGAACGACCGGTCACTATGATGCGCACTGACCACCAGGGGGCAGACGCTCAACGCAGGAGCTTCCCCTGGTGGTCAGTGCGCTCCCAATGGGGGAGCGCAGCTCAGCCAGAAGCCAGGCTCACAGCTGGTGAGCGTAGCGGCGTTGGCAGGAGCCTCTCCTGCCTCCGCAGCAGTGCTAAGGAGCAGCAAGCTGAGCAGTAAGAAGCAAGCAGGCAGGTAGTAAGGAGTGAGGCATCCCAGATTATGAGAGGAACATCCGACTGCCGGCTTAGGCCGAATCCCCAGGATTGGGCCTAAACTGGAAGTCGGACATCCCCCGGGGGGTCCCAGACTGTGAGGGCGCAGGCCAGGCTGAGGGGACCCCCCCCCAGTGCACGAATTTCATGCACCAGGCCTCTAGTTTATGTATAAAATGAGAAGTAGTGCAATCTTTCTCATAGAGTTGTAACAAGGATTAATATGGTAAATCTAGCAAGAATGTTTAGTGAATGCACAGTAAATGTAGCTATTTTCATCCTGCATAGCTCTACTGACTTTTTACTTTGGAGCTTTGCTAGAGGTATTTTGGGGGCACCCTCCATTTAATTAATTAGTTAGTTAGTTTGCTTGTTTCTTTGTTTTGCATCCATAGATGAGGTAATAGTTACCAGCTCAATTTCTATATGCTATACTAATGTGAAATTGGCTGACAGGAACACCTGTTCTTTCCATAAAGGTGCCCTATATTTTACATATCTGCTATTGAGATAACCTCTTCTTTTACTTTACAGATATATGTAATTGACAGTGCAGACAGAAAAAGATTTGAAGAGACGGGCCAGGTAAATAATTCTTCTGTTGATCTATTTCCCAAATAACTGGGTATTCATTAATCTGCCTTGTAAATGTATGACAGTGAGAGAGATTTTTTTTGTTTAACCTTTGCAGTTTAAACAAGACAGTCACTCTGGCAAGCAGGCAAAAATACCAGTTGGCTAAAAAGAAATTAGTTCAGAATCCTTTAAACAATTTTTTTTGATTAAAGCCTTTTAGTTTAAATCAAATTGAATAAACAAGTTATAAGAAAATGGAATTTACCAGCATGCCCAAAAGCTCTTCAGGTTTCTTCTCATTCCACATAGAAATGAACCCAGAAGAACAATTCCCTTATTATATCTGTGTACATTTTTCAATATCAACTTAAATTGATCCAAGGGCAACTAACAAATTCAAAGGGATGGAAGAAATGTGTAACCCAAGACGAAGCTGCTCTTGTTTCCAAGCCAAAAGATAGGTATCTTTGAACCCCAAAATGCCTTCAAATGCAGACTACATGTCAACATGATTACACAGTGCAATTTGTATACACAGTTTTAAACAGAGAAGCGGTGGGCACAGACCATTTTACTGAGTACACTGATAAGAAGCAAGGGGTAGAGTGGACCTCTTTGGAGAAGCATGATTACATTTTATTGTAGAGTCCTTGGCTTGTGTCCTAAACTACCACTGGTGGCCTTCCAAAGGTAGCCGTCCCCATGTTTATGTTCCTTTTTCCTGGAAATTAGTTTGAGAACTCTCCAGACTCTTGGAGATAACCCTTCTATACCTTGATGATTTCTGGATCATCACTTCATGTGAGCTTGAAGGTGAAGGGTGTCATATAACGATGACACCTCTTGAACCCTCCAGTTCTCTTTGGCAGCACAAGTGTCTTACATAGGGTTAAAACGTGGATTTAATGGGAGAGGTGGGTCCTCATATTTAGGTACGTACACACCCTCTCCTATACTTATTGCAGACAGAATCAACACAACAGGGTAGACCCCAACTGATAGCCTAAAAATCAGAGACCTTGCCAGATGGACTAATACAGTTATTTTAGGATATGGGTTTGATGAAGTGTAATGCATGGACATGTTTTGGAGGTAAAGATTGATGAAACAGAATTATAGTCTTTAAAGCAATTGTCATTTTCAACTTATCCTATATAATAAAAGGCTAATATGCAAATTGTCCCCTCGGGAGTTCAACCGCTCGCTATGACGTGCACTGACCACCAGGGGGCGGCGTGGAATGAAAGAAGGCCCTGGCCGGCAGCCAGAAGGCCTCGATTGGCCCTAATCACCGGCCTGGCCTAGGGACCCTACCCATGCACAAATTTTGTGCACCAGGCCTCTAGCATTTAAATAAATACACACACACACATACACACACACGCACATATACACTGAACGTTATTTGCAGATAACAGCCTTGGCTAAATTTTAAATTTCTAATCACAACTTGTGTTCTCCCTTGAACTGTGTTTCTCAAAGTATGATCTATAAATCCCTATAGCAGAACTACTAGAGGGGAGCTAGTTAAAATTCGGATTCCTAAATAAGTAAATAAATAAGATAAAATGTAGATTCCTGGGCTCTCGCTCAGACTTCCCAAAGTCAGCCTCTCTGGTAGGCCCAGCAGTCTGTCAGGGGAGTCTTTCACAGGCTCAAGTTTGAGAACCACTGCCCTTGAAAGTTGCTGGTTAATCAGCTTAACTGTTTTATTTTTTTCTAGCTAGAAGTGAATGGTTAAATATCATAGCTTTCATCCTTCCCTCCCCATCCATTCTCAAAATGATCCAGGAACTAGCTGAATTACTGGAGGAAGAAAAGCTAAGTTGTGTTCCAGTGCTCATCTTTGCTAATAAGCAGGATTTGCTCACGGCAGCCCCTGCCTCTGAAATTGCAGAAGGACTGAACCTGCACACCATCCGTGACCGAGTCTGGCAGATCCAGTCTTGCTCAGCTCTCACAGGAGAGGGCATTCAGGTGAGATTACCTGGAGGCTTGGTCACCTGGCAACATGACAGCCAACCAAGGTAGTCTGTCTCATTGGCTGGGCTGATCTAGATAGGAAAGATATGAAACAAATAGCCTTTAATTGGTAGATGAACAATCCAGGATGTGAAGGGCATGAAGAGATTAGTTCTTTTCTACTTAGCAGCCAATGTGACATCAATAACTTTTCTAGGAAAGACAAACCCACCCCACACAAGCAACAAACTACCCTATTAGGTAGGAGGTCAGAACAGAAGACTTAGAGCAGCGGTCACCCATTGGTGGTCCGTGAGGACCGAAAGGTTGGCGACCGCTGACGTAGAAGATGCTTTCTAACTCTAGGATTCTTTGATGATTTGGTTGGGGTTTTTGTGTTGTGTCTCATGTTGTGGCCAAGGTAACAGAGCCATCAACAATTATGCACACTGGTTATCCTGTAGAAGTGTTCTGTTTTGTTTTCTGTTGGCTGTCTTCACTGCCTTCAGGGTTGGTGTCTGTTTCCTGCTACTTCAGTTTGGTTTCCCACTGGTAGGCTTCTGCTCACAGAGGGCCTCGTGCTTTATACTGAGGCACTACATACCAGAAGAGCAGGCTCCCCTCACTTGATATTAACTGAGAGGCTATATCCTCAAAGAATGATGAAGAGGTTCAGCTCTGATGCTTCCTACCAAGCAGACGCAAACCAGGTGACACTTGGAGTCAGCACTCTAGGACTTCTTTATTCCAAAGCCCCAGCATGCCCACATGCCTCACTTTAGACATCTGGTGGACCTGCCGGGGAAGTGACACCATGAGGTGAGAATCGGGCAGTACTGCTCCGGGATGCTGTGGGAGATTAGCAACATCTAAAGCAGTGGTATCTTCCCTCGTTGCCATATGGCGTGTGTGTCTAATGGCATGACCAGTTTGCTTTTCTCTGAACTTGGTGTATTGGGGTATGAGCCTGCAACTTCTCAATCGTCCTGCAGCCTCTTTCCATTTCCTTTCTAATACTCTCCTTCTCTCTCTCCAAAGACATTTGACATTGGTTTGTCTTAAAACTGCCTGACTGCTTTTATTTCAAGAAAATAGTCACGTCCTAGAGTTATCTCACTTGTTCCATCTGTTTGTTGCTTGGTTTTTCTCTTTTTGTTATACAAACAACCAGGGCCTGTTTCTGTGCTTGGCCTTTAGATCTGAGAACAGACCAGTCAGCACAAGACAAGCACCCTCTCCTCTACAGTCCTTAATATCCACACCCTCTGTGTGTGTGTGTGTGTGTGTGTGTGTGTGTGTGTGTGTGTGTGTGTGTGGTGGGGGCTCTAAAATAGCCAGAGATGAGCTCAGCTACCTCCCCAAAATGGATGCTGTAGCTCTGTGAGTCTCTCTGTGAGGTTTTAGTTTAGGGAGGGGGGGATATTATGTCTTATTTCCTTCCTTCCTTCCTAGACTCTGGTTATAAAAGTAATATATTCTCATTATTAATCATATAAAAGTATATAAAATTTAAAACTGTAAAGTTTTTTCCTCTCCCCTAATCCCACTTGACAAAGGAACTATCATTAATAGTTTTATTCTTAAGTCTCCTCTTTAAAATTATAATCACATATGTGATTATAGATCTATTCAGTTTTGAATTAACTGCATTTTTCCAGCTTCATTTAGGCTGGTCCAACAAGTATACTACAACCCAAGATGTTATTTATTTATTTTTTTATTTTATTTGAGAGAGGAAGGAAGAGGGAGAGAGAGAAAAAAACATCAATGATGAGAGAGAATCATTGATTGGCTGCCTCCTGCACGCCCCCTACCGGGGAATCGAGCCTGCAACCTGGGCATGTGCCCTTGACCGGAATCGAATCCGGGACCCTTCAGTCTGCAGGCCAATGCTCTATCCACTAAGCCAAACCAGCTAGGGCCCCAGGATGTTTTTTAATAGGTAAACTCAAATCCTTTTATTTAGCTTCTCACTTAAAAAAAAAAAAAATCAAGTTTAGCCTAAGGTATTTCCCTTGATTGTGCATAAGATGGCCTTCATGAGGCCTAGAGTGATTTGGGTTTGGATGAAGCCTTCTTGTGTTTATACAAACCACTTCAGCAAGAGAACTCTGCCTGTCTAAATGGCCTCAAACACAAATATAGAGAGAACATCTCAAGGTCGGGGGCTCTAAAGGTGGGACTAGAGAAAATAAACACATTTTGTGTGCCTACTGCTAAGAAAGTGGCAGCCCGTAATCTTTTTTCACTTGGTCAGAGTGTTGAAAGGAAGAAAAAGCAAAGCCGGAATTAACAGTAAGGTCCTTGTTTCTTCAGCCAGCCTTAAGCAGGGACTAGAGTTATCTAAAATCAGCATTTTGAGTAATGGCATTCAAGTCAAGGGTGCTTCCTCAGAGCCTGGAGATTGGGAGGGAGCTCTAGTCATTGTCCTCCCAGCCCCCACCCACCACACCCCAACCTGTCAGGGGCGGTTACAGGGATAGAGCTCTTGTTCTCGGCTGTGTAACCACCATAGAAGTGGCGTTCCCTTTAAGTCACAGGATCTTTAGACCAAAAAAGCAGCAGTGAGCTATCAGACAGAGTCGGGGAAGGCTTTAAAATCAGTCAGTTTAAATCAAGTGAGACAACCATGTATGGTTTGTTTTTGTTAAAGTTCTTCTTACATCAAAGACCTTCAGCAACCAGATTCACAGGAAATTATGTCAAGAAAAATCTAACAAAGAACTGTGAGCATATATATATATATATAGATTTTATATGGAGGAGAAATAGTTTGAAGGTCACTTAATTAGTTTAGTAGATAGTACCATGGTGTATAGAATTGGGTAGTTAAGACTGGGATTTCAAGGTTAATGAGATTAGATTATGGTTAATAGAATGATATAAATTTAGAGAGTTTAACCATTATTTGAAATGAGTTATTTAATAAAAATGTTAATTAAGAAGGGAATCTGCTGTCTATTGTCCTTTAATGGTAACCTTTGGGGACTGCAGAAAGGTTGTGGAGTCTTCTGTGGAAGCATTTCATTGTGAGGCACCCACTGGCCATGTCCCTCCCCCAGGTAACGCCTGTGACCTAAGTTCTTGTCCACTCAGCCAGTGTCATGGTTTTTACTTTAAAGAGTCACTCAGGAGGAATTGCTTTCCTGCGTTGCCTAATGCAAGTGCAGGCCTTTAATGATTCTTATTTACTAAGGTTTCAGTATTCCTAAAAAAGGAAAGACCTCACTAGAAAAATGTCCATAAGATCACTTTCAGACATGGATACTGTGTAGTAATTACTAAAATTCCCTAAATTCTTATTTCATCTTCCCTCCTTCCTCCTGTCCTGCTGCCCCATGAGAGCTGGTCAATAATGGGCAGAGCTACTAAAATGATCAGACATTCAAATAACATCTGGCACCATAGCTCTAAAGACCCTAAAAGGAAAAATGTACAAAGGTTAAAAAACCAAACAAAAAAACCTGGATTTTTACTGATAAAATAACACCGTCGAGTGAGCGAGCCAGGAGAACAACCACAGATCCACTAGATGGTAAGCTACACCTTCTGGACTCATCGGGCAGGTGTATCACTTCTTAGCCGAGCAGCTTAAACACATGATTTAAGGTTATGGAAGTGAGTGATTCCTGGGATGGATTTCAGATTCTTGTTCTACCTGATGTTCTGATGACAAATATGTGCAGTCTTGACAAGGACAGGCAATCCCATATGTTGTTCAGCCGCCCCTGTCCTGGGTGTGGAGATGGACTTCTGAGGCTTCAGGAGAGTTCAGAACAGGTCTTTCTTAGCCTGATGGATGGTGACCAGGAGGCCAGCCCATGGTGTAATTAAAGCAGGTTTTCATGAGAAACGTCCAGAGGAGAGCATAGGTAAAGGGCACTAGCAGCTGAACGAGAACATCAATCTTGGAAACCCTGCCTGCTGAGGGGCCCAGAGTCCAGAGGAGCGATCAGAAGAGACCCAGTTATGTCACGTAGATGAAGGCAGAAAGGGGAGAAACTGAACAATGTCTGGGAGGGGAAGCCTGCGGCCCCTGAGCCAGGCTGCCTCACACCTGGAGGCAGTCCCCTCTGCGCCCTGGGCTGGGCCATGTTGCTAGGGCCTCTCCTCGTGTAGGACATCGAGCCCTGGGACTCCTTTTCCCTGGGTGTCTAGAAACAGTGAACCAAGGACTTGGCTTAGAGCCAGAGAAAGGTAGCGAGAAAGCAACCTCTTCCACCTACACATCTGAATTTAACCCAGACCACCGCGCTGTCCTTTACTGTTGCAGTGTCAGGTGTTTGAAGACATTTTCTCTCTAAAACATCGTGTGTGTGTATGTGTGTGTGTGTGTGTGTGTGTGTGTGTGTGTGTGTGTGTGTGTGTGTGTGTGTGTGTGTGTGTGTGTGTGTGTGTGTGTGTGTGTGTGTGTGTGTGTGTGTGTGTGTGTGTGTGTGTGTGATTAAAATTGTACTGGAAGAGAATTTCCTTTCAGTGCAGAGATCAGCAGTTTCAAGCTGGTCTCTAGCCTTCGTCATAACAGAGACCTGCCTCCACCATAGCTGAGCAGAAAGTTCTCTTGGGTATTCCTCTCCATGCCCCCACCTCATGCTCACATTTTCTTTTCACATCTCTCCCACGTTCCCCGTCTTCCTTCCTTCTCTAAACAGGAGTAATGGTCCGGCTTATTGTCTCACCTAGAAAGGACCACTAGCAGTCGGAGCCCTGGTGTGTGAGCTGTACACCAGAGTGCACCTCCCATGTGAACATTACACATTTCCTAGCCCAGCTCCTTGTTTTTATTCCCTTTTTCCTTGGTCTAGGGGGCTTTTCCCTTAATGTACCAATAGAATTTGGTATTTTTAAATACGACATTTACCCTTCTTTCAAGGCCTGGCATCAGTTATTTTTTACTCCAAGTGTACATGGAACTGCTTATCTGCAAGTCAGACCTCAGGTTTATTTTTAAAATTTCAAACCTCTCTTTAGACCAAGAAAGCAAGCTCAGGACATCCGATTTTGCTACCTCTCTGGTGCAGTGCCCTTTGTCACCAGAAAAAATATTAATAGCAAGCAATATTTTATGTATGCAGCATCCAGCTGCTCCTTGACCCTGGGGGCCTGGTGACACAATGGGATAGGCTGCATTGCTCAGCGAGGGCCTGAGCTCCTCCTCCTCTTAAAGCAATTACTGATGTGGCATGTAGTCCTCATGGCATAAAAAACCAGGCCCACCCAACCATGGCGGCCACTGCTTCCTTCCAACCATTGAGCAGTGATGGATGCCTTGTAGGGTGATCAAATTAAAGGGAGCATTGCAGCCAGAGTCCACCCTTCCATAGAAAGAGGCATCATGCCTTTAATGCTGGACCACTGAGATCTGTGATGAGTAGGTTTCCACCCCTGTGGTTAGGGCAGCCTTATATTTTCCCCAATGGTCATATTAGGGGATAATCTCATGACATAGCAAAATTTATTTCCTCTCCACAAGGCCAAACAAAGCTCAGTATTTGAGGTTCAGTGCCTCACTTTAGTCTCTATTATTGAATTAAAGCTAATCAATTTAAATTCAGTTTCAGCAAGATTGGCCAGAAGGAGGTGTGGTAGAGGAAGGAAGGGGAGGACTACTCATGCCATAATATTGTCATCCCCGTGATGAAGATCAAATGTGCAGAAATTTGGTCAAACCAGTTTTTAACAATAAAGGTTCAACCATTAAACAAACTTATGAGTTCATTTCCTTCTTTGGAAGCAGAGCAGTAACCTACTTCAAGTAACTGATCACTTTTTCTCAGTCGTCTGTTTTGAAAAAAAACACAAAGCTTTACCAAATTAAGGCAAGAGTGATGTGGAGCACTAATTTAAACTTGAGAAGCAGAAGGTTCTGCTTCTTGCTATGATGTTGTCTTTAAATGTTAATATTTCCATTGAAGGTGGTGGTCTTGGCGGAGAGTTACTATGCTAGGATGTGCAGCAAGGTAAACATGCAGCTTCCACACAGAGATACCGGGCAGCCCAGGAATCCTGAGAGCTGAGTGGCCAAAACAGCCTCTGGCATCGTCAGAGCTGCAGCCAAGCTCTGCAGGAACCTGGCCTGGGCTACCCCAGGCTCATGCCCCTTTAGTTGGAGGTCCTAAGGAAGAAATAACTAGCATCGCTCTTTCCCAGCTTTAGGGTGGTTCCCAGCTTCTCCATAAGCTTGAGGCAGAGCTCCTCCCTCCAGCACTTGCCCGCACGCAGTGAGAACCGGTAAATGGTTAGAGTGTGGGTGCTGGAGCTAGAGAGCGGGTTCCCGGCCCACCTCTGCCACACACTGTTTTGTGCTCCCATTTGTAATGTGGAAATTATAGTCCCTACTTCACAGGGTGTTACAAGGGTTAATTAAAAAGATATAAGTACTGTAGGCCAGACACCATGCTAGGTTCTGTAAACACAACCTCAAGCCAGTCTGACTTGGACCCTCCCCTCAAGGATCTTGGACAACATATTATCTTTCCTTTTCCGTGGGCAACTTGACACAGCTTGTCCTGATTTGAGTGGAGAGGTATTATCCCCATTGACTAGTGCCTCCCCAACAGCCCCTCACCTCCAGCTCTCTTTCTCCTCAGGTAATAACAGGAAAGGTACAACTCCCCAAACCCCAAACACTCCCGATCAGGGCAGAGCAGCCACAGGGCTTGGCCCCTTTTAAATCTCCCTGTGCTTCCCACACTCCAGACTGCTGGGGGCAACTGCAGAGGCTCAGGGACCAGCAGGATAGCTGGTGGGTACTGACCTCTGAGCGCCCTCTGTTGGCAGGACTGTGGCTGAAAGGGCTTTGCCACCGCTGACCTCACAGACATCTGGAGCACATGGCTCCCCAGCAGGGCTCCCGCATTTAAATCCCCTCTGCCTCCATAACAGATACCAAAAAGAAAGCTGCCCCTCACCCTCCACATTCTGCTTCGGGTTCCTGCAGCTGAGTAAATATTTTTTCTATCTCTTTGACTGTATTCATGTTTAGTTAGTTACATATAATAAAAAGAACAACCCCCCTGAAATCAGCCATAAAACAAGGGGGGAAGCCGGTATTCATATAGTGTGGGAACACTTGATTTCTCTGAGATGATTTGATAAAATACCGCAAGTCTCCATAGAGGAGAAAATATTGAGGTGCGTACCTTTGATAGTGTTTGTGCAGGTTTCTGAAGATGGAAAGTGCTACATAAGTGCTGAGCTATTCAGCTTGGGAAGCAAAGAGAAGATGGTTATCTTATTCATCCCTCTTTTATTTGTAAAATCTTTTCTGTCTCCTGGCAGGTGATCATTTTTTTCCTGGAAACCAATTAGCTACTAAAATTAAACATGCTTCTCTTTAAATTAATCCTTTTCATAAAATGGTCTTAAAATTGGCCTCAGCTTTTGAAGTCGGTAGCTGACCCAGTTGTAATTGGAGATGTATTTGGAGGCCACCTTTCTCCCACCTTGGCATCCCGCCTCCCTTGTCCCCACTGCTGCCAGGTGCTGTCCACCTTCAGGCTTTCGGCTGAGGCCAGCCTCATCTTGGCAGATGCCCTAAGGTCTGCTCTGGAACAGCCATCAGATTATCTGGTTCTCCTACCCAGGCATTCTGATGGCAACTGGCAGAGTTTTAATCACTGTAAATTCAGGTGATGGTCAGATTAGCCAGGAGATAGGGTGCCTGCTGGTTGTTTTGCAGTGATGTATTGTTTATGGGATTAATGCTCCGAATGCCCAAAGGTGTCAGCTGATATTTATTACTTTAAGCTGGCTCAGCTGTTCAGGTTCAACCACTAGCGCCGTGGTCACAGGAAATGCAGGGCTCTGCGTGTCATGTATGCCCTGAGATGTGCACATGTGACTGGGACCTCAGCAAGCATGTATTGCAGACTCGGGGGGAGTGGGGGGAGGGGATTTGTGCAGGATCCTGCTTTGATTTTGTTCTGAGCTTCCAAAGGAACTCTGCACACCCCTGAAGGTCGGAGAGACTCTAGGGCAGTGATTCTCAACCTTGGCTGCACATTAGAATCACCTGGGAACCTTTTTAAACTCCTGATTTCTGGGCCTCATCCTCCGGAAATTCTGTTTCTTTGTTATGGGGTGAGGCCACAACATTAGTAACAAAGAAACAGAATTTCCGGAGGATGAGGCCCAGAAATCAGGATTTTAAAAAGATTCCCAGGTGATTCTAATGTGCAGCCAAGGTTGAGAACCACTGCTCTAGGGGAAGGGAGAGTATTGAGGGGTGGCTCCAAAGTGGGTTGAAAAGGAGGTCATCTCTGGCAGGTCTGGCATCCAGGAGAAAGCATGCCACCTGCCAGGTGGCTGTAGGCATTGTGTGGTTTTTACCGCTGTCCCTCTCCAGCCTTCTAAGAGAGGACACTTTCAAGGTCACTGTGCCTTTAAGGGAACCTTCTCCCCAGTCCCTCAGCTTGGTGGTGCTTAAAGCTACAAGAATCAGGCCCGGACTCTCTAAACCTATCTGGAGAGCTGCAGGAAGAGAAATAAATGCACATTGCCCTAGTGTGTGTCTAGTAACACACACTGCATTTGGTTTGTTTTTCCAAAAAGAAATTTAATTTAACCCGTGTACACTGCCACACTGTAAACACACCGGGCACCAGAAGGGTGGCTTATTGAATGGAATGCCCTAGCAAAGGTCAGCTTTTAGAAAAAGCCAAAAAGGGCTGGAATCTTTCCTGATAGCGCCTCAATCAGGCCTTGGATCCAAGCAGATGTGTTTATTTTTTCAGAGGGAGTTCCTGAGAACCCATCTCAAGTTCAGACACTGGGCACTCCCACTCCTATCTCCCTCCTGTGCTCTCAGAGGCCTCCCCACGAGGTCACTATCGCTGGTCACCCAGGTGGGCCCCTGGGACAGACTCCCTGGAGCTAGTGGTAGGGGAGGGGAGGCCCACACCCCCACTCCCCCCCTCCTGGGCTTGCGTGTATAGTGTCTTTCTTATAACTAACACTGCCTTTCTCTGCCCATTTCCCTCAAAGGACGGCATGAACTGGGTCTGCAAAAATGTCATTGCAAAGAAGAAATAAAATCTAGACGAATGGAGATGCAGGAGCTTCGGGAGCTGAATTCTGTCCTGAAAAACACTAATTTGCTGCTTTCTGACCAAATGTTTTTCCATCTGTGTACAGCTACAGCTGTTTGAAGAGAGGGTACAACACAGTTTAAAAAGAATCCCTATTCCAGCAGTAGATTTAACTGATCTCTGAGGTTCAGTATCATTTTTCAAATAAAGGAATTATATTATTTCCTCTGCATAATTGAAATAGTATTAAATGTCTCAAAGCACATGATTAGAAAATGAGATCTTTTAAATGAGCAAGAGATTGCATTGCAGTTCAGACAATTCCAGTGGGCTTTTTTTTTTTTCTTCTTTCAAAAAAAAGAAAAGAGAAAGAGAAAGAAGCAGCTTATGCTGCGTTCATTTATTTACTGACCTGTCCCTTGTTCTCCCCATGGTTTTGGAAGCATGGACAGTGTTTGCTGGTGCTGGTCAGTGATTTTTACCATCACCAACTGAGCCAGGGCTGCATTCCGTCCGGAGGGAAGCTGCTGGGGGGAAGGGAGGAAGAGCAGATGATTAAACCATCTTGTCATGCAGGTAGGAGACTGTGTGTGTAATCCTCACCCTTTGGAGAGGAAAAAAAAAATCCTTTCTTGCAAACAAGTCACCACATAAACATGGCCCATCCCAACCCCCCAGCCAGCTATACCGGGAAGCAAATTCTTATGACTTTGGACTATAATGACATCTGGAATGTCAGGAGAGGTGGGAGGTTTAATTCCAGAAAAATTACAAGGTCCTTAGAAAGCCCTCACATGGAGGGCTCGGGCCAGCGTAAACAGGCTTTCTCCAGTTCAGTGGAGCAGGGAGCAGCCGACTGAGATTAGCTGGCTTCTGCGCGGCAGTCCTATAGAAGGGATTTCTAAAGCTCAAAGAATTCTGTGTTTAAATGATCACAATAGGCCGTTGCTATCAGATTTTTAAAATAAATGCAGCTTACCCATGAACCTGCTCCACTGAGAAAAGGCAGGCAGATCGATTTTTTCAAGATCAATTTTTACAATGCTGGCAACTTGGGGGTGTGGGAAGCTCATAGGCGGAGAGGGTTTGCTGCTGGGAAGAAGGTGTGTGATTGCAGGGGCCACTCCCAGGGAAGCCAGAGTCACCCCAGCTGCCCATCTCCCCTGCCTCTCTCCAGCAAAATGTGTCCTCTGTTGATTGATTGGAGAGGACTGGAAGGAGACTTCTCCCGCCCTGTGTTGCAAAAAGAGCTTGTTTTCCTGAGTCTTAAGAAATCCCTAGCTTCAAGCATGAAAGCTGGCCAGAGCATCACCCAGCTCCTGAATTGAACTCTGTTCTGGTGCCTGAGCCGAGGGGTTTTCAGAGAATGAATAAGAGACTGTCCAGTGGCTGGCTGGTGGGCCTCAGGAGGCCAGCTGCCTTCTCATCCCAGGAGGTGGCCCTTCCCAAACCCACTCAGGCCTGTGAGCAGAGGGGGGGGCCACTCCAGCTTTTCTGGACAAAGTTGTGCAGGTGAAGCTGAAGCATGTGCAGCCTCAACGGCGTGCTGGGCTGGAAGTCATTCCTGCCAACATGAAAAGCTGCGCCGGGGGTGCTGTGGGCAGACCTGTAAGGGCTTGTAAAACAAAAGGAGGTGAGGGTTTTCCAAACCACTGAGCTACCTGCTTCCTGCTACCTCCTCCTTGGCTTCCTTGTCTCCCCCAGGGCCTCTCCCACTTTGAACAAAGGAAAACAGAATCGCAAGAAACCAAAATCCCCCTGCCATCCAGCTGGAAATGTGGCTCTAGGGCTTGAAAATGGGTTTTCCCTCCAAATAGGGCACCAGGGATGCGAGCTGAAGGGCAGCGGCCTGCTTTGAGGTCTGTGATTTGGGAACAATGTGATAGGAACTTTGGCAGTGGATAGTCTGTAAAATACTTTGGTTCTTTTGCCACCAACTTAGGGAACTCTTTGCAAGAGTCCTCCCCAGGCCTGGGCCAGCAGGCAGAAGCCACTCCCCTCCTCTGATAACAGCCTCTGTGAACCTTCACATTTGCTTTTCAGCTAAAGACAGAGTGACATGGTAGATGTCACAAGCTTTCATCTTCCCTTTGAACCCTGCTGGACCCTCCTGGGGGCTCATGGGGTAGATGAGAGATGCCTGAAAAACGCAGACTTTAAAAGCTCCCATTTGTAAAAACAAAATACTCCTAAAGTCCCCTTTCCTCTCCCCACCCCACTCCCACCCCCGGGGCCATGACCAGAAGATAGAATTTGAAACTAGAAAGGGGATACCCGGTCTCCCATCCTCCCGCCCCCAGTGTGTCTGGGTGAGACTTGCTCTGTGCACCTCTGCATCTGAATGTGCGGGGGAGAGGGCTGGGGGGCACCACGGCCCGGGACGGGGGCCCCAGGATGTGTGCTCAGACCAGTTGTGAGAAAAACTCCCTTCCCCTCCTACTGACCTTCCCTGTGCAGCTCCTCCTGGCTGGATCCCCGAGCCCAGTGCAACACACCCTTTCCCCTTCACTCTCCCCTGGTTACTATGGAAACAAGGGTGTCATTGATGTGGGCTGAGCCGGGGAACATGTCGGGCGGGCGCAAAGCTGAAAGTCAGCGATTATGCCGGTGGGTACACATGTGCGGGGAGAAAGAAGTCCACAGGTCCCGAAACTGCTGGAAGGACACAGTCCTGCCCCCTCCCTCCCTCCTCTCCTCTCTATCCGGGCTTTTGACAAATTTCTTTATTCCCCTCTGGGCTAAAGCGGCGGCTATTTTTGTGTCACTCTGTGCCTCACCCTCACTGTGGGCCGCTCCTTATCCGGACCTGCCCTGGAGGGTGACACCATGTCAGCCTCTCCGGGGCTCGTCCCTTGATTCCCGTCAGAGTTTGCTTTGATTTCTCTTTCCTTCTCAGGGGCAAGTTCTTCCTTCCTTTTATTTTTAGCTCTGCACTCCATGTGGTTTCAGGGTTCAGTCTGATCCATCGAAAGTTTCTTTTTATATAGCCCCTTTTGAAAATGATAAAGAAATGGACGTGGTATTTGGTCATGTGGAAAACCCACTGTATAATTTAGATGTCTGTCAAAAATCCAACAAATAAAATTTAGCTGAAATGAAGGCCGCCTGGAATGTGTTGTGTTCTTTGCTGAAGCTCAGAGAGGGCCTGAAATCTGTTTGTTATTTCAGAGGTTAGCATTCCTCAAGGTGCTTTTTTTTTTTTCCAGAAGGATGTAATATTAACACCACCAATAACAAAAATAAAAATAACTGCTTAGTAAGCTCCTCCCACCTACCAGGCACTCTGCATACATCGCCGGGCAGCACTAGGCCTACTTTACAGTGGCGGAAACTGGGGCCCTTGCCTGGGTGAAGGGTTTTACCCAGGATCACAGAGCTGTTAGTGCAGGAGGGGCCTGGAACCCAGGTCTGAAGGCTACAGCAAGCTGCCACCTCTGGGAGCTAAAGACAGTAACAGCCCATTTCCCAGTAGCCTGAGCCCCTAGCCTTCCAAGCCCACACCATGGGTCTCCTCTGACCAGCACTGCTCCCTGGGCATTTCTGTCCCAGGTGTTGGGTAACTTCTGTCCTCACAGCACAACTGTTTGTTTGTTTGTTTGTTTGTTTATTTTAAAATATATTTTTATTGATTTCAGAGAGAAAGCAAGAGGGAGAGAGATAAAAACATCAATGATGAGAGAGGATCATTGATGGGCTGCCTCATGCATGCCCCAAAGTGGGGATCGAGCCCGCAGCGCACACGCCCTTACCGGGAATCAAACCCATGACCTCCTGGCTCATAGGTCGACACTCAACCACCAAGCCACACCAGCCAGGCCACAACCGTGTATTTCGTACCATCCTTTGCACAGACGGAAAAAGGGGTGAAGACATTAGGAAAGTTAGGGCTGACAAGGATGTTTGCAACTATCTGATCCTGGGTCTTCCTTTTCGAGAGAGTTCAGAGAGGGGGATAGACTTGCCCAAAGTCACACAGGAGGTGGCAGAGTGGGCACTGGCCCAGGGCTCTGCCCTCTAGAGCAGAGGAGCTTACCTTCCCCTTTGGCAGCCTCGCTTCCTCGGTCTGGAGACACCAGCATGGCTCTGGAAGGGCCCCCTTTAAAGGAAAACTGCTGGCAAAATAGAGGGGAGCTTGAGGCAGAAGGAGAGAGGTCTAGTGTTGCCAGATAAACGGCAGGACATTCGGTTAAATTTCAAATAAACAAGGAATCATTTTTAGTGTAAGTGTATCCCATGCAATATTTAGGACATACTTATAATACTAAAAAAAAGTCATTGTTTATCTGAAATTCAAATTTTCACTGGCCATCGCGGTTTTTGGTTTTTGTTATTTTGCTAAATCTAGTAACTCTATCCAGAATGCCTGGCTCTGGGACAATTTAAGTGTGTTCTCTGGAGTCATCTATAAATCAGCTCTGTGATCTTGGACAAGTTGGCTACTCTCTCGGAGTCTTGCCTCTTCCCCTGTGGAATGGGATTAAAATTATAGGGAGATTGAAAGGAGATAAAATGTCAATAAAATACCTAGACCTTGGGCAATAGTCAGCCTGCAGTAGGGACACTCTGTGCCTCCGTTTCTTATCTGTAAAGTGAGGTGATAGTCATCTGCCGCATGGCATTCTCTAGAGTCTAGAGGATTAGTGGAAGTTTGGATGTCCAGTGTGTAGGCGATGCCAAGTCATCGGTAACTATTATAACTGGGGGAAATTCTGAATCCAGGCCGTCCCAGACCCTCAAGACCTCTGCCCTGCCACCTGGCCCCTCCACTTGGCGAACTTTCCAGGCAACAAGCAGGCAGCCGGCAGCCTTCCTGGAGATGCTGGCAGCCCCCTCCTCACCGGGGCTCCCAGGGCCACCCCAGCCACACCTCCTGCAATTAGATTTGTAAGTGGGAACATGCTCTTGTCAGAGGCTTCTGATTGGCTCCGGGCAAAAACACAGTTTAGTGCTCAGTCAAGCTGCATTTTAGGGCCTCTGTCTCCCTCTCCCTCTTTTCCCCCCTTAATTGCAATCTGTTCAGTAATTTCCTTTTCCAACACTGCAGGAGCTGGGCAGGGAGGAGGGAAAGAGAGCTCCCACTCCCTGCAGTGGATCTGCTGGTCCAGCACTGTCAGGGGTGTGTGTGTGTGTGTGTGTGTGTGTCCACAACCAGCCACACACATGAGCATGTGGAGATCTGACCAACCCCCCAGGGTCAGTCAGACCAGGGCAGGTTGTTAAGGGGGCACCCACTTGTGGCAGGTACTTCACAGTTAGCATTTGATCCTTGCAACACTATTAACTGCAGGTAGTATCACCCACAGTTTGGAGCTAGGGCTCACCGAATTTGACTCACGTGCTCAAGATCACACAGGAAGAACAAGGCAGAGCCGGGATTTGAACCCAAGCCTGTTTGACTACGGGGTTCCAAGTTCATAAGATGGTTCCCTTTTCCCTTTAGGCTTCTAAGCCCAGAAAAGGGGCTAAGGAATCCTCCTGCACAAAGGGACATGGAGAGGTTTCTGTTCCCAGAGTGAAT